GCCGCACCAGCATAGCGTCCAGCTCCTTCGCACGAGCCTCCCGGTCATGGATGACGTTCAGGGCATCAGGATCCGAGAAGTTAGCCTGAACCCTGCTCTCCGCAGCGTAGGTCTCCACGCGCTTCATGCACGCCATGAAATTTTTCTGCCAGATTGCAGGAGGGCGCCAGCCGTGAGCCGACCAAACGATGAGAACTAACGAAAACGGGTAGGGGCGATGACAGACACCGGGCTGCTTCTCGTCTGGGTTGCTGGCTTCGGCCCGGCTGCCTCGACGACAGAGTGGGACTTTCTGTTCGATCGACCACTTCCCAGACACCCCCTAGGCAATTCTACAGCCAGACCTACGGTCAGGGGGGTTCGTTTAGCGTGTACCATTTACGGTGGTGGCCCGGCGTGGTCGGTACACGCTAAACGAAGACCGCGTGACAGGTACACGCTAAACGAAGACGCCGAGTTTTGGATTACACGCCAAACGCCGAGCCGATCTTGACACGCTAAACGCCGACCCTGTTCAGCGTGTACGCCCACTCCCAAATGGTACACGCTAAACCAAACCCCCTGACCGTAGGACCCCAGAACATCCTTCAAGAACATGAGGCACCCTCCGCCGGCCAAACTCAAGAGTTCCTCCTCCTCCTCCTCCTCCTCCTCCTCCTCCTCAAGAGTCTTCGAGGGTGCCCTCCCCTGGGAACACACAAAAACATCCCACCAGCACGAAGAACCTCAGGGTGCCCTCCCCGAGCCGGCCTCGGCCTCGTGTAAGACGACGCCAGGACGAGGGTACTCCATATTTCGTAATACAAGGGAGGGGGTCTGGACCCTCCAAGACAAGCCACTTCAGACCTCCCCCGTGGGAGAACCCTCCAAAACATCGTCCCAAGACCCCCCCGGGCCCTCCAATATAGCCTGGAAGAGACCCCCCCCGAAATGAGACCCCCTCCCTTTTATTCCGAAATCTGGAGTACCCTCCCCGAGCCGACCTCGACCTCATGCAAGACGACGCCAGGACGAGGGTAACATCGTTTGGAATCTCTGAGATCTGGCAGGTCTGGAGGATGCCTCGGGCGCCAGGGAAGCCAGGACGAGGGTAACATCGTTTGGAATCGCTGAGACCTGGCAGGTCTGGAGGATGCCTCGGGCGCCAACGGCCTTCTCGGAGCCTTCTGCCACGCTCTGCGAGCGCTCTGCGAGCGCTCTGGCACGGACTTTGTCCTCGCCCTGGCCCCGCCCGACTGCCCGACCGTAGGTCGCCTCGTCGAACTGCCCCGCCATCGGCTACACGCAAGAGTGACCCCGGGAAAGAGTGACCTCTGGTGCGCGGCTTTTTGGGGGACGCGGGGGGGCCAAACCTGGGCGCGCAGGCCGCTGCTCCCGCTTCGCTTCCAGCCATCTGAAGGCCCATGTGTGCCCGCACCAAAAAGGTCACTCCGGCGAAAGGTCACTCTTACGCCTAGTCGACGCAAGCGATCCCGGCAGGGCCGACGCTGGGCCCGGGATCGCCCTCGCACGCGCCCCTGGGCCTCGGCCGGGGATGCGCACGCACACCCCCCGGCGGCGAAGGGCAACAGTGCGGCCAGGGCCCCGGATCGGCGCACGGCGGGCCGCCCTCCGAGATGGTCTTGGTCTGGCCCTGGGCGCTCGAAGCCCTGAGGTGCGAAGCAGAAGGCTCCTCCTAATCCTCCTCCTCCTCCTTCTCCTCCTCCTCCTCCTCCTCCTCCTCCCTCCCTCCCTCTCTCCCTCCCTCCCTCCCTCCTCCTCCCCTCTCAGAAGGCGGCGGGACCTCTCAGAAGCCCTCGGGCCTTCTGCGAGGCTTTCTTTGTGTCTCTTCGGGGAGGGCGCAGAACACTTCTCACGGGGCCGGGGGTCCTCCGGGCCCTCTGACAAGGCCTGCCCCTCCTCACTTCTCCCCCTCGCTCGCCGCCGACCTGAGGTGGGCGGCCGAGGGGACGTGGTCGTAGCCCCAGCGGACCAGCAAGTCCAGGACGTCCTCCACTGGGGTTCCGGCGCGCTCCAGCCACTCCGGGATCATCTCGATGGTCATGATGCACGGAGGGTACTTGGAGAAAAGCTGCTGGGAGCCCTTGAGGAAGTGGCCCTCGTGGCCTTCGATATCGACCTTGGCGATGAGGATGGCCTTGAAAGCCGGATTGTACTGGAGCATGAGGTCGCCGGTGGTGAGCGGCACTTCGTACTCCTCCACAGTGACTCTCGGTGCAAACTTCTGTTCATGCTTGCTCGGGTGGAACAAATCCTGCAACTGGTCGTCGCTCATCTCGGTGAACGGCTTGTTACCCTTGACGGCGGAGCCGCCCTTATTGACAGGGTTGAGTGACATCGTCACCTTCTTCGGGTCATCAGGCGCGCCCACAGCGTAGTTGTACAAATCCACGTTCTGCAGGTTGTTCGCCAAGATACCCACCGCGAGGTGGTCGGCGATGGGTGGCATCCCCTCCACGGCGATCACCTTGCCGCCGCGGGGCCTGAGACAGTCCGCCATCGGGATAGTGAAGGTCCCGATGTTAGCGCCGACGTCGAGGAAATTGCCGACCTCGCCGTGTGCCTTGAAACGCTCGCACAACACGGCGATGTGGCTCGTCTCCCAGCCGTTGTTGGCCAGGAGCTCCCCCGAGACCCCCTGATCCGTGTTCCGGTCAAACGCGGCGACGGTCAGGTTGTAGTTGCCCGTCGCGCTCTTCACCGTCGCATGGTACAAGGAGCTGTTGTCCGAGAAGAGCGGCCCGTGAGCCCACTTCTCGAGGTCCGCCGGCAGCGGCTTCGTGTGCCAGCCGTCCTCCCCAGGCCACTGGCGTCATGATCTTCGCAAGGCGTCGCACCCGGACCTCGAAACCCCTTCCAGGGGGCCTTTTGTTCCGTCTCGGATCGTTTTCTGACTGCCCTGGGCCCCGAAGAAGCCACGAGAGGCCGAAATTAAAGGAACCACGTCGGGGTCGATGGACAGCCGTGCGCGGACCCTACCCCGTGCTGGATCGGTTATTGAAACGCAGTCGAGGGTTCAGAATCTGAAGGCAGACTGCAGCCAAGTGAACCTCTACGGAGGTGTCAGAGACCCCAAGATCAAGCGGACCTGCAAGGGCCATACATTTCGCACCTTCTGGGAACATCTCGGGCTCGGGCTGTCCAGGCCGGTGCGGAGTCAATGGGGACGAGGCGGTCGTGCGCCCGCGGCTTCATTTCTGACCCCAGCCATTTCCAATACCAGCCACGATTCAGGAACGATGGGCGCCATTGGGACAGGATGGCAACAACGTTCTGCACACGACGTAGACATGAGCTCTTTCAAAGCCGTTCCTGGCGACAGTGCATTTGGAAACCCTTGGAGTCGACAGTGAAACCGAGACTGCTAGAAACCGAAATCCAACGAAAGCAACTGAGCAAAACGCGACGACGCTGCAACGGAACATCGACCGACCGCATCGAACCGACTGGATGCCACCCCGCTGCCACGCAGACGAACCGACCGAAGACCGCAGGCATGCTTGCCCCAGGTGCGCTGGAGAGGGGAGCCTAGAAGAGGGGGGGGTGATCTTCGTGGCTCGAGGCATGTGCACGGGCGACTGCGGGCTAGCAGATGCGCTGCAGGAGCGAAAGAGGTGCCACGACATGCTGGAGGCGTATGACCCCAGCCAGGATGCGTAGCACCCCCCAAGTCTAGAAGAGAAAACTGCATGAACACAACTCTCGGGGGTCCGCGCGGAATTCTTGGATCGCCGCTGTCCCCCCCCCCCCCGAGTCCGAGAAATCCGCGCGGACGTCAGAATGTTCACATTTGTGCCATGCTGTTACTTTCGGTGGGTAGCCAATTCTCGAGCCCTGGGCGCCCCGGATGGCCTCCGCAGAGGCTCGCACGTGGGCGCGGGATTGACGCTGCTTTCGAACATCTGCCGATCCGATCTTTTTCCCAATCATCCAGTGGTGTTGGGTCCTCGCTTTGAAAAGACACCGCCCCGCGTTCCTCACTCCTTCCTCCTCCCCCTCCTCCCTCCTTCCATCATCATCATCATCATCATCATCATCATCATCATCATCATCATCATCATCATCATCATCATCATCATCATCATCATCGTCATCGTCATCATCGTCAGCAGCATCATCACCACCACTACCGCCAGAGTCACCATCACCATCACCACCACCACCATCACCATGATCATGATCGGCATCATGATCAGCAATATAATCATCAGCATCATCACCATCATCACCATCATCATCATCATCATCATCATCGTGGTCATCATGACCATAATGATCATCAGCATCGTCATCATCATCATTATCATAATGATCATCAGCATCGTCATCATCATCAGCATCAGCATCAGCAGCAGCAGCATCAGCATCAGCATCAGCATCAGCATCAGCATCACCACCACCACCACCATCATCATCATCATCATCATCAACATCACCATCATCATCATCATCATCATCATCAGCATCATCAGCATCATCATCGCCATCGTCATCATCAAGGGGGGTGCCCGCATGCGTCCGCCACAACCCGTAAGGCGTTTCGTGGCCCCATAGGGAGCTCCACCTGCGACCCCAATGGGGGTGGCCACATGCGTCCTCCACACCGAGTGCAGCGCTTCGTGGCCCCATAGGGAGCTCCACCTGAGGCCCCAGTGGGGGTGGCCACATGCGTCCGCCACACCCAGTGCAGCGCTTCGTGGCACCATAGTTAACTCCACCTGCGGCCCCACTGGGGGTCGCCACAGGCGTCCGCCACACCCATGTCGGCACACCCCTCACACGTTTCGTGGCCTTCTAGGGAGCTCCACCTGAGGCCCCAGTGGGGGTGGCCGCATGCGTCCGCCACACCCAGTACAGCGCTTCGTGGCCCCATAGGGAGTTCCACCGAAAGCCCAATGGGGGTGGCCACACTCGTCCGCCGCACCCACACCCAGTACAGCGCTTCGTGGCCCCATAGGGAGCTCCACACAAGGCTCCAATGGGGGTGGCCACATGCGTCCGCCACACCCAGTGCAGCGCTTCGTGGCCCCATAGGGAGCTCTACACAAGGCTCCAATGGGGGTGGCCACATGCGTCCGCCACAACCAGTGCAGCGCTTCGTGGCCCCATGGGGAATTCCACCTAAGGCCCCAGTGGGGGTCGCCACAGGCGTCCGCCACACCCAGTACAGCGCTTCGTGGCCCCATAGGGAGCTCCACACCAGGCTCCAATGGGGGTGGCCATATGCGTCCGCCACGCCCAGCAAAGCGTTCCGTGGCCTTCTAAGGAGCTCTACCGAAGGCCCCAGCGGGGGTGTCCGCCTGCGTCCGCCACACCCAGTGCGGCGTGTTGTGCACGCCACGGTCGAGACGAAGGCGCGTACGCCCGACCTTCCGCTGGCAACTTGCGCGCCACTGTCGGTGCAGTCGAGCACGCTTGCTTTTGTCGCTCACATGCTGCTTCACAGCCGCAAGCGGGTTCCAATGGCAATCCGGGAAGGAGAGGGAAATGAGGAGGGGAGCAGATGGAGCTCACGCGGGCAGCTTAAGCGCGAATGCTGGTGCAGTCGACGACTTTTTTCTCCAGGGTCTATTTTTCACCCCGAGTCCATTTCTGATGGTCCCGTGGCCGATGGCGGCGCCCGGAAATCGAGGTAAGTAAAACGTTCGGATTGAAAGCGTCATATCGTCGGGGATCTGGGAATAGCCCCTGGGGGCGTATCCCCGAGTCCCCCCTCTTCGCCCAGATTTGTTTTTTGGAGAAATTCGGAGACAGTGGGCGAGAGCTCGCTGTGCGATGGAGCGCCCGGCGCAAGGTCGGCTGAATCGTTTTCCTGGCGCTGGCCTTGATGAGCTTCCCAAGACTGCTGACTGCACCTTTGCGCACACCGACTGCGCCTGGGTCTGGGCTGAACTCGAAGCAGAACACCCCGAGAGAGAACAGAACACACATCGTCGGAGCTCCGGGATGGGGGGGGGGACAGGAGGGCGGAGGCTCGGGGCACTGCCCCTCCCAAACGGGAACCCGACACCGCGGGATGGCCTGGAGAGGCCCGCCGTCGGGGGTCCGGGATTTGACGCCGAGGGTATGGCGTTCCCACCGTGCGCAAGGATCACGTGCCAGAAAGAATTTCGAGCACAGTGTCTGCCCGACACGCCTGCGAAACGTCGAGCGACACTCGCCTCCCAGGGCCCGACACGTGAAAGCCCTCCGGTTTCAGTGTTTTTCTGGTGCTCGAAATTCTTCCTGGCGTCAAGGCTACAGTAGGTCTAGGTCGGGCATGTCCTCCTACAGGCGGAAGCTCGAAGAGGAATAAGCACAGTCCAACAAGTAATCGCTAAATCATCACGAGAGCACGAACACTCGTCCCCAGACTATTTCTTGACTGTCTTTGAATACTCCTCCTGTATCGGCGGCGGACAAACCTCCCTCTAGTAAACCTCCCTTCAGTGAACACGGCCTAGGACCGAAACCGACGGACATGGACCCGCAAGACTGACGGCCGCGACGCCCTCTCGCGAACCGAGAACGGCCAATTCCTGCATCGACGCGTCAGGAGTAGAAGCTCCGTCCACGTCCGATCCCCCTGCAGAGGGACAGGCCTTTGTGGTCCCCGGAAACGGCAGGGCCGTTTTTGCACCGTTTCCAGAAAAATGTCCCCTGAAAATGGAAACTGCAAAAAAACGGCGACCGGAAACGGCAAAAAAAACGGCTCCAGGATTGGAACCGGAGCCGGAACCGGTCAAAAAACGGCGACGGAGCCGGTAAAACAGCGGCGTCGGAGCCGGCAACAAAAAAAAAACGGCAGAACGGAACCGGCAACAAAACGGCCCTGTCGTTTCCAGGGCCCACTGAGGGACAGGCCCGCCACCAAAGCAGGTCGGAACATCACAGCCGCGAGGGCACGACGCCCTGGGGGGGGGCCGACGCGGCCGACGGGGCCCACACGGCCGGTGGGGGCCCGCGGGGCGCTCCTGCGGCGCCCACAGCGCCACGGCGGAGGCGCCGAGCAGGCCCGCGCAGGCGGCGGCGCGGAGCGCGGGAGGCGCCATTGGCGCAGCATCGTCAGACCTACAGCGGCCCTGACCTGTGACAACGTGTTTTTTATATATTTATTTGTATATATATACACATGCAAACATACATACATACATACATACATACATACATACATACATACATACATACATACAAACATACATACATACATGCATACATACATACATACATACATACATACACACATACACACACATACATACACACGTACATACATACATACATACATACATACATACATACATACATACATACATACATACATACATACATACATACATACATACATACATACATACACACATACATACATACATACATTACATACATACATACATACATATATTACAAACATACATACATACATGCATACATACATACATACATGCATACATACACACATACATACATACATGCATACATACATACACACATACATCCATACATACATACATACATACA